GTCATGAAGTGGACTTTACTTGTGTGACAAGGAGGTTTAAGGATGCCACTAATGAAAGTCAAACATGTTTGTTTCCACTGTTTTATTGTGTGCCTGTAATGAAATGACTTATCGTACGATAATAAAAATGAACTCGATACATTTCCATTTACATGAGGATGTGACTAGCAGCTTATTATCATTATCATTCTGTCAGTGGTCTAACATGGTCATACAACGATCTTAAGGATTGACCAACCGGCTCCCACTGCTCTGCTGTCTGTTAACGTTGTTAAGAGTGGAGGGAGCGGATCCACGGCTCGGGCAGCTGTCAACTCAACATTGTAAATAACCAACCAAAAACCATCGCCCGTTCATCTGGTTTCTGGCGTGAGAATAGTTTGGGCAGCGTGAGAGCGTGAGATTGAGAGTGAAAGCGTGAGAGTTGGTCAGTGTCTTCTGTTGGTCGTTTAGCTTTGCTTTCTAGTCTGTGTGTAGTATTTGTGTTCGTTTAAAAATACAGAACTTTGGACAGATGAAAAAACATCACACTTTCACACATTGACATAATCCACTATTTCACATTTCCCACTGGGTTGCAAAGGGATTTCTACAAAGATATTCCAATGGGAAGTTAAGCTGGGGATTTAATGCATAATTGCTGTAATTGGATATTAAAATAATACTTTAGTTGACATTTTACCAAAGAAAGTCCTATACTGTTCACAACTTTAGCTTGAAGTCTTTACTGTTCAGAGAGGTGAGGTTAGAGTCTGTTTCTGATGTATTGGTTGAATGTGTTTGGTGTGAATGAGAAACGTCTAGCATTAATCTTGCTTTCACTTATGATTCATCGCAGCATTTGAACTAAAACCTAGCTTTAAACCATTATTTTAAACATTTACATAATCCACCATTTCACATTTCCCTCTGGGCTGCAGAGGGATTCCTGCTAAATATTCCAAGGGAAGTTAAGCTGAGGAAATGATTATTTGTTCACTTTGGATATTAGAATCACCCTTTTGATGAGATGGTACTGTTCATATCTCTCTGCTGAGGCTACCGAGCACAGAAATACATGGAAGAGTTGTTGTTGATTTATAGGCTGGATATATTTGGTTCGAAGAGTAAAATATATAGTTTTCTTCATGCATTCACTTTATCTCCGAAGACCTGAAAGGCTATAGCTCTTCGCAGTCTTAGAAATGCTTTAAGGATTTGGTTTCTACGTCTCTTTTTGAAAAACACCATAAATATGATCATAATGTCATTTAACTTCAGAAGGACTTGTATCTTTAACCAATGGCAGGTTTAGGTGCAAGTCCTAGAGAACACACAAGGACTGTCTAGAAAGCAAAGCTGCTGAGGACGAGGCAAAGCGGGCAAAAGAAGACCCTGAAACAGTTTAGATATGTCTGAGGTCACAGGCTCCTCCCACAGAGCAACTCAATAACACAGGGACAAGAGTACAGGTAAATAAAATAGAATATAATAGAAATAGTGCAGAGTAGTCTATAAGTACAGTCATTGGAATATTGATGAGTTGCAGCCAGATGAAAGCAATGGATGCTGTTTCTGAAGTTCAGGTGTTTAACTCTCTGATGGCCTGCGGGAGGAAGCTGTCTGAGTCTGGTGGATAGAAAATGGTGTATTGATGATTGAACGCTCTTTGTGTCAGTGGAGCTTCTCGTTGTGACCTTGTCTCTCCGGCCGACCCGTCCCCCCTGTTTGGTTTATTGAGTGACCGCAGACACACCTCGTTCCTCTTAAATGGGTTTTCATTTTTTATTGGCAGGCCGCTGACGGCTTGTTTAGTCGAGGCTCTTTACACTTTAACAGCTCGCCGTATCAAAAGCTGTTTTACTGGCTCCTGTAAAGTCAAACAGAATGAAATCAGAGGAAAAGCCGCCGCTCAGCAGAAACCCAGAGGAAGGTGTGGAGCCTCTTCATCCTCGTTAACGTAATCACAGAACAAAGCAAACAGAGACGTGTCAGCGGGGAAAGCAGAGGGTGAGGCTTCTCTGTGGAACAAATCAGATGCTAGACGTCTCTGTGCCTGACGGGGGAGACAGGAGTTATTAGAGGGCCGAGAGGTTCAGAGTAATATTGGATCAGAAAGTCTCTTTGGATGGTTTGTTTGTTTAGGTTTGTGTTTAGTCATGTGTCGTTCGTGTACGCTCGTGTACGCTCGTGTACGTTCGTGTAAGTTCGTGTACGCTCGTGTACGCTCGTGTACGCTCGTGTACGTTCGTGTACGTTCGTGTACGCTCGTGTAAGTTCGTGTACGCTCGTGTACGCTCGTGTACGCTCGTGTACGCTCGTGTACGCTCGTGTACGTTCGTGTACGCTCGTGTACGTTCGTGTACGCTCGTGTAAGTTTGTGTATGTTCGTGCACGTTCGTGTACGCTCGTGTACGGTCGTGTACGGTCGTGTACGTTCTAAAAAACACAAACTGTATAGAAAGCAATGCAAAACTACCAGAAAAGCTGCAAACTACTAAAACAAGACCCTCAGGAACTGAAACTAGATGCAACGCGTCAACAAAACAACTGAAAGTGACCAAGGTGTGAAAGTGTTTAAAGAGAATGGAAGAGGTGACATGTTGACCCCTGTAAATAGAAACCTGGAGGCTGCGAGTGGAAACAGAAAGACTCAGCGAAGACAGGAAGTCGATGCTCCAATGATCATTCTGTGGGGGTTGGTTTCTTTAAGCAGTGGGTCAGGTCAGAACCAGTATCATGGATGAAGACCCCCCCCATGTGACAGACAATAACTGAGTGTATGAAAGTGTTTCCTCTGAACTTCAGACCCTCTTGGTATGGATTATGGAGATTCCTCGCTGTATTATGAGTCTTCAGTATCGATTCAGATCTGCAGAGGAAATACAGAGGCTCTCTTTTACTGTGGAGATTAAATTAGACTCATGGTGACCTTGGTGGTGTGACGACCTTTGACCTCTGACCCGGGTCTGTCTGGTCATCTGCTCGCAATTTAAGAAAAACAAAAATGTCTAAAAAATGTGGGAACAAACAAAAAACATTTCCGATAATATTTTCCAAAAAACCCATTTGTTAAATATTGAATCCAAATGTTGTGTTACATTTTGAAAGAAATAAAAAATAATAATATAAGATTTATTGTGTAGAAAGAACTACATTTAGGGTAAAAATCCTTGCATTTCTTTTATATCGCAGAAAAAATAATAACTTGCAATGTCAGTATTCTCCAGCAGCTCTTTGTGCTCGTTCTGAAGCTCGTTTTTTTAAAGACATCGACTTTAAATTGAATAATATTCCCTGATTATTTAGTGACATGTCTGCAGGTGCAAACCTCAGATACAAAGGTAGATACACGTGGAAGATGCTTGGCAACATATCTGCAGGTCATAAACAAACCTTATACTCTGTGTTCAGGTTACATTCAATCCTTCCATTTATTTTATATAAATTAGACTCATGCACGGTGACCTTGGGGGGGACCTTTGACCTCTAACCCGGGTCTGTCTGGTCATCGG